CGCCCTATCTATTGGAGATTCTGTCCACTAAAGACCCAAAGCTACTCAAACCCTCCAAGCATTATTTAAGTAATGAAGTAATATGGTATATTAACTCACTATAATGTGGGTGCTGAATGCAGAACATGAGAAAACATATATTTACTCCAAACTAATATAATTTCATTATGAAATAAGTAAATAAGTAGCATCAAAGGAAGTCGACGGTCCAAGCGTCAATGTTGTGGAGCGACTTATCCAAGATATATCGTTGTTTGGAAAGTGTTTGTTGGCATATCCAGTTGTCGCACTTCTCTGCACAAATTATCACAAATTTAAATTATAATGTTAACAAGTAGAATACGTATTTTTAATAAAATCTAGCATAACTAGCCAGAAAACATTTAACATTTATTAAAAAATATATGTTTGGAAGTTAAATGGACTTCATAGGACAATAGTTTTGTTATATATACTCGTTATTCGTTGACATGCGTTCGCTACTTAAACTACCATGTACTGTACTTATGTAAAATCTCCCATGTCTCTTCACTCATCTCACTGAACCCTACAGGCTCTTTGATATATTGTTTAATTAATTGAGATTCACAAATAAAGCTTATAATTGTATATGTTATCAAAAAGGCAGAGCTTATTTTAGTTCATTTATTATGCACCCCATACCCATCCTATGAGCGATAGTGGAGTGTTACAGAGGCACATAATGGGCTCAGGGACTGAGCCCCACAATTCATATAGCCAAGCAAGTTATAATCTTGATAAGCCAGTTACAAAAGTCAATGCACATTGTCACATCAACAATGGGCTCGAGTCCGACCACAAGTACAGTTTATAATTTAAGCAACTGACATATATGGAGGGCTAGTGTCACAATTGATATGTTTATCCTACACATAACCCCCTCTCCCCCATCCAATGGGCAGCGGTGGATAGGTTACAATCAAGTCGTTTTTTGCGTTTTATTCAGCGATTAGATCTTATTGGGTGAGGAAAGATATTCATATTTTAAAGAAGGCTTCTTGGCTGATGCTCTCCATTGATGGAAAATATACAACCTTTTGAAAATCAATGTTAGTTTGATCTAGATATTGTATTTAACGAAAGTATTTGTCATCAGAAAGGTAGAAATATAGGCTACATTTAAAATCCTTTGTCATAAATATAACTGAAGTGAAAACGAAGATATATGCGTTTTGATAGTTACTTGATGGCTAGCTCTGAGAGTGTGAAGCCTTGCACACCAGCCAATAAATTGTATAATTAGTTTCCATATATTTTAATTAATCTTAAAAATCTATATGTCAGAAGAAAGGAAGATGTAGCCGTTAATGTGACAACATTTAAAAATATATATATCTTAAGTTAAATAAATAATACCACCTTATTGCCGGTGTCCGGACACATGAAAATTACCTAGGTATCAGTATCCAGCCAGGCGGGGATCACAGGCTGCACAATACTGATAAATTTATGTAATGCACTACTTGTGGTCGATCTCGAACCCATTTATGATGTGACGACTTATAGTGAATTTTGTAACTAGCTCATCATGATTGTAACTTGCTTAGCTAAATGAATTGTGGGGTTCGGTCCATTCATTTTCTTTCTTTATTATGCACCCCATAATACACATCCCGTGGGCGGTGGTGTAAAGGATTACAGAGGCACATAATCGGTTCAGGAACTGAACCCTCTAGTTCGTTTAGCTAAGCAAATAACAATCTTTTGACGCTAGTTACAAAATTATTAATGTACACATACTTATGCATACATGTACATATTCATACGTATACATATATACATACACATACATATTTAATCACCACGACAAATACACACATCAGTAATCTTTTGTGTCACAAGTGATTCAACAAGAGGCTCACAACAGTCACTATACAAGGCACTTTACATCTATGAGGAGTCGCACAGTTACTCATGCTCCACACCCACCCAACTGGGCGGCAGCTTTACAGTCATGTGCTCCACAAGTCTTGCTCCACACCCACCCAACTGGGCGGCAGCTTTACAGTCATGTGCTCCACACCCACCCAACTGGGCGGCAGCTTTACAGTCATGTGCTGCACACCCACCCAACTGGGCGGCAGCTTTACAGTCATGTGCTCCACACCCACCCAACTGGTCGGCAGCTTTACAGTCATGTGCTCCACACCCACCCAACTGGTCGGCAGCTTTACAGTCATGTGCTCCACACCCACCCAACTGGTCGGCAGCTTTACAGTCATGTGCTCCACACCCACCCAACTGGGCGGCAGCTTTACAGTCATGTGCTCCACACCCACCCAACTGGACGGCAGCTTTACAGTCATGTGCTCCACACCCACCCAACTGGGCGGCAGCTTTACAGTCATGTGCTCCACACCCACCCAACTGGGCGGCAGCTTTACAGTCATGTGCTCCACACCCACCCAACTGGACGGCAGCTTTACAGTCATGTGCTGCACACCCACCCAACTGGGCGGCAGCTTTACAGTCATGTGCTCCACACCCACCCAACTGGGTGGCAGCTTTACAGTCATGTGCTGCACACCCACCCAACTGGGCGGCAGCTTTACAGTCATGTGCTCCACACTCACCCAACTGGGCGGCAGCTTTACAGTCATGTGCTCCACACCCACCCAACTGGGCGGCAGCTTTACAGTCATGTGCTCCACACCCACCCAACTGGGCGGCAGCTTTACAGTCATGTGCTCCACATCCACCCAACTGGGCGGCAGCTTTACAGTCATGTGCTCCACACCCACCCAACTGGGCGGCTGCTTTACAGTCATGTGCTCCACACCCACCCAACTGGGCGGCTGCTTTACAGTCATGTGCTCCACACCCACCCAACTGGGCGGCAGCTTTACAGTCATGTGCTCCACACCCACCCAACTGGTCGGCAGCTTTACAGTCATGTGCTCCACACCCACCCAACTGGGCGGCAGCTTTACAGTCATGTGCTCCACACCCACCCAACTGGGCGGCAGCTTTACAGTCATGTGTATGCATTACCTACAGTAAGGAAATTTTGGATACTTCGCTAAGATTTCGGGCAGCACATCATTATGAATGAAGTACTTACACATTTCATGGACACTATTGATGTTGTTATCTTTAAATTCCGCGATTTTTCACATTCCATTATATAATGACGCAAAGTATGCGAATAGTTCTGCTGACAGAGTTTACATTTAGTCAAATCTACATCATCAGATGTTACAAACTTCCAGAGGTACTTGTAGCTGAGCCTAAACCTAGCAGTGGTAACATCTAGAAGTCTGCTAACATTATTGGATGACCCATAGACGAGCGATTCATCAAAGTTTATACAATATTGTGAAATTGACAGTCAGTGTAGTAACATAAATTGGTAAATCATAAATATTGTAAGTTAAGAATCTGATGCATGTGTGTGTGTTGGGGGGGCGGGGGTTATACCCTTGGTAAGCGAGAGTGGAAAGTAACCTTAGACGTACTGCGGTCAATGTAGGGGGGGGGGGGAGGGGGAGGGAGGGTGGGAGAGTCAAATTCACCCTCCAACATCTGGGCATAGTACCACCAGCCTCCACAACACTCCATCAGCCTCCAGCTGGTGCTTGTAGATGCCTCATCTAACCTCACCTATGTCACACATTAACCTACAGTTCCTGTGATATTTCAACTCCTCATCACAGTGGCGTCTCACCAATATAAACTGTATTGGATTTTGTCCCGAAATAGTTATATGCTGACAGGACGTGTATGTATGTATGTATGTATGTATGTATGTATGTATGTATGTATGTATGTATGTATGTATGTATGTATGTATGTATGTATGTATGGATGGATGGATGTATGTATGTACACATGCATGTATGCATGCATGTATGTATGTATGTATGTATGTATGTATGTATGTATGTATGTATGTATGTATGTATGTATGTATGTATGTATGTATGTATGTATGTATGTATGTATGTTTTTATGTATGTATGTATGTATGTATGTATGTATGTATGTATGTATGTATGTATGTATGTATGTATGTATGTATGTATGTATGTATGTATGTATGTATGTATGTTTTTATGTATGTATGTATGTATGTATGTATGTATGTATGTATGTATGTATGTATGTATGTATGTATGTATGTATGTATGTATGTATGTATGCATGTATGTATGTATGCATGTATGAATGGATAGATGGATGGATGTATGTATGTACGCATGCATGCATGTATGTATGCATGTATGTATGTATGTATGTATGTATGTATGTATGTATGTATGTATGTATGTATGTATGTATGTATGTATGTATGTATGTATGCATGTATGAATGGATAGATGGATGGATGTATGTATGTACGCATGCATGCATGTATGTATGCATGTATGTATGTATGTATGTATGTATGTATGTATGTATGTATGTATGTATGTATGTATGTATGTATGTATGTATGTATGTATGTATGTATGTATGCATGTATGAATGGATAGATGGATGGATGTATGTATGTACGCATGCATGCATGTATGTATGCATGTATGTATGTATGTATGTATGTATGTATGTATGTATGTATGTATGTATGTATGTATGTATGTATGTATGTATGTATGTATGTATGTATGTATGAATGGATAGATGGACGGATGTATGTATGTACGCATGCATGCATGTATGTATGCATGTATGTATGTATGTATGTATGTTATGTAAACTCAAATCTTCCTCATTATATACCTGTCAGTAGTTTTATTTCTTGTAAGAGATTGATTGTTTCATCTTATAACTTAAAATTAACTGCAAATTTGTGTTAGCCGTTTATCAGTAGGCTGATCATATTACCTTCAGACAAAAACTGGACATTGTGAAGGAAAAAGTGAGTTACGTAATATATATTAAATTGATGAAAAAGTAAAGTGATAACAAGTTTTATTACATGAACTTATTGAGTTTGCAATTATTCTGCAATGACAAAATCCATAATAAAATTTACTTACTAGAAGCCAGAGTCTTTACAACATCCTTATGTTTCTGGGAATGTAGATGTAACTGGATGTCGTTTCTACCACGGCGAGCCACGGAAAAATAGATCTTACAAAGCTGGCATACCACTCTTGTTCCATCACCCCACAGATTGTCCAGTTTAATAAATTTGAATTCCTTCTGGAGATCGTCAGTAAACCTGTAGTTTCGCCTCTTTGACACTGTAAAGATAGACAATGATTTAACAAATATGAAGTATAAGCCACTGGCATAGAACAACAAAGCCCCAGGTTAACATACAGGCAAAACCAAAACTAACGCGACAGCAGAACACACACTGCATCAGAGATTCACAAGGTTGCCAACATGAATTTGTTATTTACTCTGAATAAATAATTGCCAATATCAATCAAATAATACAACTCTATGGTTATACGAGGTACTGGTATCCATAATATTGATATGCGATTATAAGTTATTGATAATAACTTATGATTGTTCAGTATTAAAAATTATTTATTGATTTTATTATAAACGGGGAAAATTAAATTTGTTATTAAAATGACGCAACAGTCTGGAAATATGAAAAAATACAGACTCATTCAAAACGGTACATATGGTCATCCTATTTATGAAGAATCAGCCTATAAGTTTATAGAAACTACATTCACTCTCCAGCGAAGAGTAAGGCCTACACTGAAGCACGCTGTCGGATATTTCCGACACCCCAATTACTAACCCCTGATATAATAAGCTAAATTCGTTACGTCAGAAAACTAACCATACTAACTGTATTAATTTCCAGTGAGGAAAGGTCTAGATGCTCTCTGGACAGCATAGCGGAGTACTGTGTCAGCCAACATTGGCGACGTAACTATTATTTCTCCCAAATTCTTAATTCTTCCAGTCTACAATTTAATTATATTTTAAAAGTATTATATAAGACTGGATTCAATTGAAGCTAAGATAGAACTAAGTAACTTTCTCCCTGAGGCGAAATATACAAGACGTAACTAAACGAGTCAATCGGAGAGGAAATGGTCACCCCATAAACTTTATATACATTAAACATAATTTACTTTCTTGGAAACTTCCAGTCCAGCATAACAAACAGTAAAAAACTGTTTTCTCTGATCGGAACTGATAAAATAATGCATAAAAAGACGCCTCTCTGTCCTCGTTAATAAATGGGCAGAAATTAGCGGTGTGAATAGTAACGTGACTAGACACAGGGGTGGAAGAGATGCCACTGTTTATCTAGAATTGGTCTCGTGAGGAAGCAAACTTAGCAGCCATGCTTGTACTGGACATCCGTGCCGTTACAGCGTTCTACAGCTGCTGTGACCTCTAACTACGAGATTGCCTTGTATCTGGTTTGTCCTATATCTAGTCTATTTATATTAATTGGCCTTTTAATAGCATAATAGATAGACAGCCGGTTATGAGGAAGGTGACCCAATAAATCATGGTAACTTTCTCATAATCATTTAACTAATTCTTCTGAACGTGACATATCTGCGATAGGGAACACATTTGCCGTAGTTAATAAGTTGTAATTGTTTAGCAGATCTCTAGTGGTTATCGGGGAATCAGTAACATCAACGAACCGTAACGTGTTATAACGCCAAAGTCCATGAGACTCATACCTGACTGATTTTCCTGATGCCTGTCTTATACTCATGCTGAACCCTTCAAGTTAGATAAGGCCATTGAGTATCCACACTAATACCAGTAGTTTAGTTAACTAAGAATTATTACAAATTTTCCTATCAATCTAAAATTATCGATAGATAGGCTATAATTGAATAACCCCCTCCCCCCCAAGATATGTGTAAAGGTTAACACCAAGCAGAAGTCAAGAATTTTAACAGTCCATTTTTCCCTAATACAGACCACTCCACATTATCAATTACATTTAATGAATCTACTTGCTGGGATATTTCCCGCACACGCCGATCCAGGATCAACACACTTAACAAGGCTTCTCACTTATCTCAAAGTCAAGAATTGTAGTTTGTGAATCAAATATTTTAGATCCCGGAGGGGGAGATAAATGAACTAAGGAGTACGAACGTCTATCTGGCGAGTGTTTACTATTGCAATAAGTCCTATTCCCTGAGTCTTTTATTAAATGTAATGCACGCACTCGATTCGTTCGTTTCAGTCCCAAGAATTAAATTTTTTGGCAAGTGCAAGCCCAGAGTTATTACTCTCGTGTTTGAAGTGTTTCTTTATAATATTCATTTGTTCTGTATTTTTGATGTAAAGTAACATACCAGTACGTCAAGTAAGGAAGTAAATGACCGGGTTTTGATAGCTTGTATTCCATGATAGCTTCTATTTCTTATATATATAAACGATCTGCCTAATGTCTCTAATATTCTCAAACCTATATTGTTTGCTGACGATACTACCCTTATCTATTCAAACCTCAACCCACATACACTAAATAATGTTGTGAATAATTAATTAAAAAAAGTCCAGTTATGAATCTCAACGAACAAACTAACATTAAACATCGAAAAGACTACATCTTATTTGGAAGCAAATCATCAAATTCAATTCAGCTACAGATAGACAACATTAACATCAGTAATAAAAATGATGGCAAGTTTCTTGGCCTATTCCTAGACAAGAGACTCAACTTCAGCACCCACATTCAACACATAACTAAGAAAGTCTCTAAGACAGTTGGTATACTCTCCAAAATCAGATATTATGTTCCTAACTCTGCTCTCCTCTCACTATTATGCACTAATCTATCGCTATCTTAATTATGGTATCTGTGCATGGGGGTCTACCACTGCAAACCACCTTAAGCCCATCATCACGCGGCAAAAATCTGCTATCAGAATAATAACTAACTCTGCTTTCAGACAACACTCAGCTCCCTTGTTTAAATCCCTAAACTTGCTAAATATTAACCTCCTCCACACATTCTCTTGTGTCAACTACATTTACAAAACCCTGTTCTTAAATGCAAACCATGCTCTGAAACTCTCCCTGGACAGATGTAATAGGACCCATTATCACCACACCAGAAATAAATATCTCTTTGATATCCCCAGGGTCAAACTTAATCTGTGTAAACACTCTATGCAAATTAAGGGACCTAGTCTATGGAACTCACTCCCTAGTGAATTGAAAAACTGTAAAACTTTTGCCTTATTTAAAAGCAAAACCAAAAAGTACCTAATTTCATCTTCTTAGTTTCCTACACTAAGCTTTAAATTTGCTTTGTACCTAGTGTTACCCAATATCCCAATGTTTATGTAGTATCAAACAACCTTATCATTGTGTTCATTGCTGTCTTCTTTAATGTGCTAGCCATATGCTGTATTGTGACTACCAATTTTTGTCAACTACCATTCAAGCTGTCATTGCAATCAATCTTAGCTACCTATGTGCTTTAATATACTGTACCTACAATTTTCTCTCATCTTCTATTTTTCATTCCATGTAACTGTTATAATTTTTTTTTACTATAAATTTTGCAAGTATTTACCTACTTAAAATTTTCTTGGATTAAGGACCTGCCCGAAACGCTGCGCGTACTAGTGGCTTTACAAGACTGTAATTACCATATTATGTATCCTCACATTCCCAATGTACCTTCTTGTATATGCATAAATAAGTAAATAAATAAATAAATGATACGGCTTAGAAGCTAGTGCCCCTTACATGACATGTTCCGTGTCCCCCCCTTACAGGATGATGAACGAGCGAATCTTGTTAAGATTGTGTGAAGCAATCTTGATAACATTTTTGGAAGAAAGAAGAGTAGTTCAGTACCTTAATCACACTGGTGACTGAGTTTAAATGCCAAATTCCGAGTCAGAGTAGATGAGAACGCCAAAGCTAGACATTTTTTTGTTGTAGAGACGATATTTATAGGCAAAGCCAAGGTGGTGGTAATCTGCAGGGCTAATTTGAGTGATCTTGAAATATTTTACAATGTCACACTTGGCAAGGAAGGCTCTTCCCGAGTAGCCCCTGGACAAGTGTCACACTTTGGAGCCTCTCCCGTCAATACTTGCAATCTTAACTCAGTGAGAGGCACCATTATGTTTCTGTGAACGATGCTACTTCACCCATATTGTCAATTAACTTTAATAATAATAATAATAATAATAATAATAATAATAATAATAATAATATTTCATTTATACAAGTGTAAATATATATCATAGCTGAACAGAGGAAGATACATAGGTAAGATAAATACAATGTGTAAAGCCACTTGAATACAGAGCTTTTTGGGTACAATTTAAGATAAAACAATTACGTTGTTTACAGAGGTTTCAAAGTTGGATGAGGTAGACACTTAATGCTAAACAAGAAGTAAGCAACATAAAAATTGCTCAGAAATTTAGCTTGTAGTATACTGCCTTCAGGGAGTCATAAAATAACAATTAATTAGGATAAAATGAAAAATTGTAATGGGGGAATAATTAAAATTAGGTAAAATAAATTAAAATTAATACATCAAATAAAATGATGTATGGTAACATTTTTAGTAATTGAAAGATTCTAAAATAAATTATATATATTTTAAGTACTACATTATAGAATCTGTAGTTTTAGTAAGAGTATAGAAATTGTATTGAATATTATTAAAAATATACAAATATGTATTTTAGTAAAGTCACTAGAACGCCAGGCATTCATAGCAACACATAAAATATATCGAAAAATTAAAAGGTTTAATGAAATAAACATTTATCAATAAACCAGAAGTAAGCTAACACATATGACTTCAATAGGTAATTTAGCACATTATGTACATTAGTTAATGACATTTATTGATAAAAGGCACAGGGAAAACAATTTAAGTATATAAATATTTAAATAACACCAAACACAAAAACTGTATTTTCTTTGGCAGAAAAAGTGTGAATGAAATGTGTTACATGACGATAAGTACATATTTATTAGTTTCTCATTTAAACTGCTTGGGAACCGTATAGCTTTTAACTACATTTGGAAGATCATTCCACAGTTTGTAAGACATTAAGTTACTGGACATCCTCCTCAAGTGTTCTCTTTATAAACCTGCACCGGCAATGCTAATGGTGACTTTATGGGCTCCCTAGAGGGCTGTAACAGAACCCAAGGTCACCACATGCTCCCCACAGGGCTGTAACAGAACCCAAGGTCACCACATGCTCCCTAGAGGGCTGTAACAGAACCCAAGGTCACCACATGCTCCCTAGAGGGCTGT